TCCAGAATGTTTTTTTGTTCAGGTTTCAAATTTGTAATCGAGAATTTGTCAAAATATGTTTCGAAGCGTAGTCGCCAATTTGAAATTTGTGCCGTAAAGCACGAGAAAGCTGCCTTCTGATTGGTCATTCCATTGGTAGGTCAACGTTCTCGCAAGGTCGGTCTCGATAGTTGCGGGTTTGACGACTGAATCCTTACAATCTAGACCGTCTATTAGCCATTCCAGAATGTTTTTTTGTTCAGGTTTCAAATTTGTAATCGAGAATTTGTCAAAATATGTTTCGAAGCGTAGTCGCCAATTTGAAATTTGTGCCGTAAAGTACGAGAAAGCTGCCTTCTGATTGGTCATTCCATTGGTTGGTCAAAGTTCTCGCAAGGTCGGTCTCGAAAGTTGCGGGTTTGACGACTGAATCCTTTAAATCTAGACCGTCTATTAGCCATTCCAGAATGTTTTTTTGTTCAGGTTTCAAATTTGTAATCGAGAATTTGTTAAAATATGTTTCGAAGCGTAGTCGCCAATTTGAAATTTGTGCCGTAAAGTACGAGAAAGCTGCCTTCTGATGTGTCATTCCAATGGTCGGTCAAAGTTCGCGCAAGGTCGGTCTCGAAAGTTGCGGGTTTGACGACTGAATCCTTACAATCTAGACCATCTATTAGCCATTCCAGAATGTTTTTTTGTTCAGGTTTCAAATTTGTAATCGAGAATTTGTCAAAATATGTTTCGAAGCGTAGTCGCCAATTTGAAATTTGTGCCGTAAAGCACGAGAAAGCTGCCTTCTGATTGGTCATTCCATTGGTAGGTCAACGTTCTCGCAAGGTCGGTCTCGAAAGTTGCGGGTTTGACGACTGAATCCTTACAATCTAGACCGTCTATTAGCCATTCCAGAATGTTTTTTTGTTCAGGTTTCAAATTTGTAATCGAGAATTTGTCAAACTATGTTTCGAAGCGTAGTCGCCAATTTGAAATTTGTGCCGTAAAGTACGAGAAAGCTGCCTTCTGATGTGTCATTCCAATGGTCGGTCAAAGTTTGCGCAAGGTCGGTCTGGCGTGACCCGTAATGGGATGTCCTCAGATCTTTGTTTAGCGGTAGAGAGAACTAAGATCTGATTTTAATGAGATTGACATTTTCTAATTCTCCAAAATGACCTAACGGATTCATTTTGTGTGAAATGTTTGTAATTATAAGGGGGCTCAAGATTGTTAAGCAATTTCAGTATGCCCGCCAGGTAGCCAGCCAACATTTAAAAAGCCTTCTTTTCAAATATTTAGAGGGCCAGAGACCTGAAACTTAAAGGGTGAGACGGTCACCATCAGTCATTTCAAGTTTAGTCTAGGCATCTTGATCCGAAATCAAATATGCCACTGGTATATGTGAACCGATGGGCAGGCATGACTACAACTTGCTAATTTCAGTAGAAATGTGTTTCTGTAGCAAAACAAAATAATTTTGTTTCAGGAGTTAATAAAAAATATATTATTTACTGGGCATGCTGCGTGTCCTGAAAAAATAATTGTTGTGGAAAATAACAAAATTGTTCTGCTTCTTTCAGTGGAAAAGCTACCGTGAAGAAGAGAACAAAACTATTGTCTGAAACAATGTAAGAATAAATAAAGTCCCACGAATCACGTTATTAATTATGTATTAAGTGATAAAATACTGTATTCAAATAGCAACTAAGCAGGTTACGAGAACATAGAAACATGTTATTTGACCAAAAACGACAACGTTACTTTAATGTCACTTTGGCCCATTATTGAGCTATTTGTTTATTTATGGAATTTTAATTTAATCCGTAGTAAGTGAATATGGTTTTACACAATATTCCAGCAATATCGTGACGGGGGACACAGGAATGGGCTTCACACATAATGCCCACGTCGGGAATCGAACCCGGGTCTTCAGCGTGAAGAGCGAACGCTTTAACCACTAGGCTTCCCTACCGCCCATAAGACATAGTGAGTATTTTGTCATGGAGAACATTGTTCATATCGTTAGTAGTTGAGGACAGCGCTTCAGTACCGCTCCTGGCTTCTGATTGGTCGAGAGGATCACGTGACCTCTGTGACGTCACTTCCGGCCACGTGACCCCTGCGCAGTGGATGATGGGTCCTGCGTGCGCATCCAAGATGGCGGCCCATCCGTTTCCGGTGGCGTGCGCCTCCAAGATGGCGTCACACCCGTTTCCGATGGCGCGCGCGCCTCCAAGATGGCTACGCATCCGTTTCCGTGCGCCTCCAAGAAGGCGGCGCATCCGTTTCAGGTGGCGCGCGCACCTCCAAGATGGCGTCGCATCCGTTTCCGATGGCGTGCGCACCTCCAAGAGGGCGTCGCATCCGTTTCCGGGGAGGAGGGAAGGGAAAAAAACACAGAGAAGCGGTCGTACAAGGTAAACAAGATCGACATGGTTGTTGTTCTTTGGTTGTTCTAAAAATAGAAAAGGCGGTGGTGGTGAAGGGAGGGAGGAGGAGGAGGGATTCAGGGAGGGAGGAAGGCGGGAAGGGAGTCGGGTTCTTTGTTTTGTTTTGTTTTGGTGTGTGGCGATGACATGTGGAGATGATAGCTCACTGAGACGAGCTTATCATACACAGTCGACGACTCTGCCACTTTGTTGCTAGGTTGACGTCATATCGGCGAAGGATCTTGCAACAACATTCCACAAATCATGTCATCGGGTATGGTGATGTGATTGTAAACTTTGAGGTGTAAGGTTTCGTTCCACAAGGCGAGCGTGTATTGTAGCCCACTGTGGCAGTCGTTCGTCTAAGTTAAAAGTCGGTGAGTGGCGATCACCTTAGCGATACGATCATGGTGTGGAATTCTAAAGTTGTTGGCTGAATTCTAAAGGTGAATCGACAGGCACAGACATGAACGTGATGTAGATATCTAGGTATATGCCTACGTACTGTCATTCGTGTCTCCATGCAAACATGGTGCCACGCGTGACTACAAACACACGTTTATCCATAGGATGATGACGTTGTCACTCGTTCATTTATACCGAGGTGCTGACACTCGTGTATGTTGACATGCGTACTGTCACGCGTGTCTTCATGCACACGTGATGTACTTCATGTCTTCAAACACACATGGTGTACTACGTCTCTCCATGTAAACGTGATGTACTTCATGTCTTCATGCAAAACGTAGTGTCATGTGTGTGTCTTCAAAAAGACATTGATCAATAGGATGATGACGTTGTCACTCGTTCATGTCTTCATGCAAACATGGTGCCACGCGTGACGACAAACACACGTTTATCCATAGGATGATGACGTTGTCACTCGTTCATTTATACCGAGGTGCTGGCACTCGTGTATGTTGTCATGCGTACTGTCACGTGTGTCTCCATGCAAACGTCATGTACTTCGTGTTGCCATGCAAACGTGGTGTCACGCGTGAATACAAACACATGTTTATCCATAGGATGATGACGTTGTCATTCGTTCATCCACGCCGAGGAGTTGGCACTCGATATGTCTACATGTCTGTTACCATTTGTGTTTCCATGCAAACGTCATGTACTACGTGTTTCCATGCAAACGTGGTGCCATGCGTGACTACAAACAGACACCCTGCTTCCTGGTTGGTTCCCGAGGCAGCAGCTCCGATTGGTTCGTTCCGGTGCCTGACCTGCACCTCGGTTTTCCAAAACGGACCGACCCCTCTGTTTCTTTTCCATAGGAAATGGATTTTACCATGGGAGAGAAAGCAAAACCCCGGTTCGGCCATTCAGAGCCCAGCATGGTCCGAGCTTCCGCCTCTGATTGGTCGACAACCCAGGCTTCTGATTGGTCAGATTTCGATCCGGTTTTTTTTCTTTGGTAGCCTTGGTATTTTTTTTAGGTAGATCTACGTCTGAATGCTAAAGGTGGACCTTCATAGGTAGGCATGAACGTGGGAATGCCTACGTGATGTACGTTGTGTCACCCCCATGCAAATCGGAATGTCATGTCATCGGAATGTGTGTGTGTGTGTGTGTGTATGTCTTCAAACAGACGTTGACGTTGATCCATAGAATGATGATGCCATGCCTACGTGATGTACGTCATGTTGCCAGGCACACGTGGTGTTTCACGCGTGTCTTTATGCAAAACGCGGTGTCATGTGTGTGTGTGTGTGTGTGTGTGACTACAAACATTTATTTAGTATTTAGATGGATAGAGAAAGATCGATACACATGCGTGACGTTTGCACACGGGATGTACGTTGTGTCGTGTACTTCAAATTATTATTATTTAATTATACCGAGGTGTTGACAGTCGTGTAGGTCTACAGATGTACTGTTACACGTGTTTTCATGCACACGTGTTGTTTGACTCGTGTCTCCATGCACACGTGGTGTACTACGTGTCTCTATTTATATATTTATATATATTTAATTTATTTTGAGACTTACCATGGTGGTGGTGGTGTCACGCGTAGACGTGTGCCTCCAAGAGGTCTAGGGGGAGGATGTGGGTTCTTTGTTTTGGATTGTTGTTGTTTGGGTTGGCAAAGCAAAAGGATGAAAGTTGTGCCTTTTGGGTGAGATGGGTGGCCCTGAAAAGGGCCGTTTTGGGGAAGAAAAACATTTCTGCTGCTGTCAAAGAAGAAAAATCATGTCCCATCTTATTGCAAGACAAGGATCGTCGAAGCGGTACTTGTTGCCATCTGGGTGCCCTACGTGGCACCACTTGTGGGTCCAACAAAGAAAAACAAAACAAAGCTTGTTGGTAACAGGAACTTGAACGGGAACTTGAACGGGAACTTGAACAGGAACGCAGGACACGGGAAACGTCCTCCTAGGCAGCCGGTCGTGCTACGTCATTCGTGTACCTCTGATTCACATACTCCTCGCAGAGATAGTGTAGTTGTAGCTTCTTCTTGTGTTTCACCAGACCTATGGAAAAGAAACACAGGGGTCGGTCCGTTTTGGAAAACCGAGGAGCAGGTCAGGCACCGGAACGAACCAATCGCAGCTGCTGCCTCGGGAACCAACCAGGAAGCAGGGTGTCAGTGCCTCTCCTATAAAACAAGAGTGGATTCGAGTGGATCAGTGTCACTTGTAAAAAGAAATCATCATCATGAGCAGCAGCAGCAACAACATTGAAGAAAACTGGGATTTGGAGATCGTCTCAGTGACACAGCCTTTGCCCCTGTGGAAAGGGTACCACTCAGAGTTAGAGAAGAAGAAAGAAACATCACCAACATTGTCTCCTCCATGGCAATGCGGCAGGTGCCAAGGGTGCCTGCCTGTCTATGCCCTTGGTACAAGGGCACGGGATGACACTTTCAAGTGCATCTATTGCGGAACTGTCCTGAAGGACACTTACGTGAGGCGTTTAACGCAAACTAGTAAGTGTCCTGTCAGGAGACAGGTGTCAAGCCACCCGTGCCTTTGCACTGCTGCGTGCACCTGCATGTAAAGAAGTGATCTTCATCAAAACGGCCCTTTTCAGGGTCACCCATCTCTCCCGAAAGAACTCTTTTCATCCTTTGCTTTGACGACCCTCAAAACCCAAACAAAGAACCCACACCCTCCCCAGTCCTCTTGGAGGTACACGCCTATGCGTGACACCATGTTTCAAAACATGTTTGTATGTATGGTGGTGTACACGAGTGGCATCACGTGTGCCTGGAGACAGGAATGAAACACCACGTATGTCTATCGATCAGTAACGTCTGTTTGAAGACACGCATGACACCACGTTTGCATGGAGACACGCGTGACACTACGTTCGCATCGCGACACGAAGTATATCACGTTTGCAAACGTCACGCATGTGTATCGATCTATACTTCTAGTAACGTGTGTTTGTAGTCACGCGTGGCACAACGTTTTGCATGGAGACACGCATGACACCACGTTTGCATGGAGACACGAAGTACATCACGTTTAATGGAGACACGCGTGACAGTACACATGTAGACATACACGAGTACCAACTCCTCAGCAGGGATGAGTGAGTGACAACGTCATCATCCTAGCTATGGATAAATGTTTGAAGACACGCGTGGCACCACGTTTACATGGAGAGACTTGGCACATCACGTTTGTGTGGCCGATGTAGTTTTTGTATATATTTGTTTTAATTTCATTTAAGATTTTTACATATATCTATTATATATAACTAGTTGTCAGTTTCAGTCAGCTATAACAAAGTGTATCTGACCTGTCTTACCTACTAACTGCCCCATGGCCAGAAGCTTCATTTTTCTGATTGGCCAAGCTAACTCCTATTGTTAAAACTACATGCTTTGATTACACTGCACACTCTCTCAGCACATAAACTCACAGAACTGCTCAGACCAGCAAAGGATAAAGAGACAATATTAAATCAGGTGAGTTAAATGGTTATAATCTCTATCCTATGTTGTATTTAAATAATACAGTATGTTTAAAGTGTTATATGAAGTAAACTAAATGCATGTAATCTAACTGAAATGTTGATTATGTCTAAATATTTAAATCTGAATAAGATAAGCTACAGACCCATACTTTATCACTAAAATGTATTCTATCACTTCAATGAAATATGTGTGAAAGTGTTTTACTTCAAGAGTGTTTTAATAAGCTTTGTAATGTAGAGATTCAGATGTGATACAATGCAAATCATTGTAAATAAAATGTGTGTATTACTTTGTTCAATATATTAAATGTTAAATAGTGTTTTAGTCTATGTATTGTTTATTCAGATAATCTATGGTGTTGCCATACGTGTGGCAGTTGGGATCCACACCCTTGTATCACCCACAGGGTATGCATTGTGTTATTTATATTTGTCTAAGACTTACAATGTAATCTAATTGTGATGACCACATTTAATGTAGCAGGGGTAGTTCATTATGAAAAATGACAAGCTGCGGTTGTGTTTGTTGAGGTGACATTTATTCCATTTTCAATCACAATTGATCAATCAACCCTGTAATAAAATATATAACATTATATACTGTACATAGAATAGCATACGGCTGCATATTAATTATTTCCTAGTTTGAGCAGTCACATTAATCCATATATGCAACGCATACAGTTACACATCACTAGTTCGTTGTATATAACTTATAATAAATACAATTTACCGAACTTTCAAATAGTAATACATACATTAAATGTCTCTTATCATAACTGAATATATCAGTTACACACCATATAGTTAGGAGAATACTAGTAGCCGTGTGGCGTCATAAATATATACTTATAATCTCTAAGATTAGGAATATATATAAAATGCTACCATGTTGTGTTAAATTATAACACATAGTTTATACATATAAATTCATTCATAAGTGAGTGATAAGATAAAGGATTTATACATACCCTGTGGGTGACACCGGGGTGTGTCTATAAACCCACATCATATAGGATTATGGCATTCCTATAAAAAGTAAATAACATAACTATCATGCCTGAATAGATACATACATACATACATACATACATACATACATACATACATACATACATACATACATACATACATACATACATACATACATACATACATACATCATGACAACCATTTCCTTAAATTATAGAAAAACAACTTCTAATTCAATCCTTACATTCAAAACTCCCAATCAAATCATGCTCTCACACATACTTACATGTTAAACACTTTATACTGATAAAATAGAAGATATCTTGATTATTTGATATCATAGGTAAGTATTTACAATATTTACATTATTGATAACATATTTAAATGATAAGTTAGAATTCTATTTAGGAAAGATAATGTAAATAACTAACCTGAACTATATGTAGTCCATGTCCTGTCTGTGCAGAGTTATAAGCAGAGTGAATAAAAAGTGTGCAAATGTTAAGGAGGAAAGCTGTAGTTAGATAATGTTAATCCGCTAGGAAGCTGAAAGCTATTGTATTGACAAGCTAGAGAGTTGGTGACAAAGGGACAAGAATAGACTAACCTGTCCACCCTTCAATAAAATTGGACCAACCGCTTGGACTCTTAACCCAAGCATATACATTTAGTACTACAACTAATGAAATGTATACAACTACTTGAAATGAAAAGAGCTAAAACTATATTCCTAAAAACTATATATACAATATCCTGTTACATTAATGTAAGCTCATATCATTAATTTCTGTCTTAAAGTATTGTATATGTTTATGCAGAATGTGTAAGCGTATATATATTGTGTATATATTATGGTCAAATGAAAGTCAAGGAGTTATCTCCCTTGAATGTCGGTATTGTGGATCATGTATATTACTGTATATGTTCTAGTATTAAGGTTCAGTCTATCTTGTGTTTAATGGATGACTGATATATGTAAATACTTACTTGTAATAAGCCTATGCTATGTATTAATGATAATGTTTTACTTAGTATTTATTGTGTAATTATGTGTTTCAGGGTGTATGATATATAGATCCTTGATCACACTCAACGCATCGCAATAAAGACCTCAACCCCGTAGCATGTGTTTGTTCGCTCTAAAAAGACATTCACTAAACTGCTACATTTGCATGGAGACACGTAGTACAGCATGTGTGTTTGAAGACACGAAGTACACCACGTCTGTTTGAAGACACACGTGACAGTACACATGCAAACATACACGAGTGCCAACTCCTCGGTATAAATAATAATCCTATGGATAAACGTCTGTTTGTAGTCACGCATGGCACCACGTTTGCATGGAAACACGTAGTACATGACGTTTGCATGGAAACACAAATGGTAACAGACATGTAGACATATCGAGTGCCAACTCCTCGGCGTGGATGAACGAATGACAACATCATCATCCTATGGATAAACATGTGTTTGTAGTCACGCGAGACACCACGTTTGCATGGCAACACGAAGTACATGACGTTTGCATGGAGACACACCTGACAGTACGCATGACAACATACACGAGTGCCAGCACCTCGGTATAAATGAACGAGTGACAACGTCATCATCCTATGGATAAACGTGTGTTTGTCGTCACGCGTGGCACCATTTTTGCATGGAGACACGAATGACAGTACGTGTACATGAAGACACGCGTTACAGTACACATGTCAACATACACGAGTGCCAGCACCTGGGTATAAATAAACGAGTGACAACGTCATACATAGCCATTAATAATTGTAGCCAGTGACAAATCTGAGGTAACAATGAGCAAGCCTCCAAGCCTCTGACTGAAATATTTGCTATTTTATGTTATTTGGATGCAAGTTTTGACGTTTATATAATTCCAAAGACAATGGATGATTTTGATAAGTCAAGTGTCCTTCAATACAAGTTTTACAATTTCGTACAAGTAATACTATTTTGTCCGTAGAAACGGGTCGTGGCAGAATGTTCCTTTGATTGAGACTCTGCCCGAATTGTGACTCGCGTACAAGGGGAAATGAATATCATATGTTCCAGTATACTTGTTTTAGATTTGAAAGAAAATAATTACCAAACTATTGTCGTATAAATCCCAACTCCGATGCTTATTAACAACTACTGATAGTTGAACACTCATTCGTTTAAGTAAGTATATTGGTTGCATATTTCAGAAGTTAAATCTTTTTTTTTGTTGTATAATGCCGCACTCAGCAATATTGCAGCGATATGACGGCGGCGAGTACATAATCGAGTCTGAACCAGACAATCCAGTGATTGACATCATGAGCAGCGATCCACGCAATTGGGATCGATGACATGCATCAACCAAGTCAGCAAGTCTGACCACCCGATCCCGTTAGTAGTCGCCTTTAACGACAAGCACAGTCGCCTTTTACGCAAGTATATATGATACTGTGATGTTGTTGTGCTAGATGTAAATAATATAACGTAGCTGTAGTTTCGAAAGATAGATTCATTTATTTTAGTGAGCGAATCTATTCAGTTTGAGTAAAAGTACAAGATAACCATAGACTATTGCATAGCATAGCAATATGGCAAACGCTCAAGTGAGTGAGTATGGTTTTACGCCGCTTTTAGCAATATTCCAGTTATATCAAGGCGGGGGGACACCTGAGTGAGTGAGTTGGGTTTGACGCCGCTTTCGACATTATTCCAGTTATATCACGGTGTGTCAGCTTAATGTGGAAGGAAAGCCCGAAGTGATGCAGGTCTTCCGTGAAACCCACGAGCACGGGTGTGGTGCCGACAAACCTAGAAACGTAATCGGGGCGAACCGGGATTCGAACCTACAATCATAGGTGCCCAAGGGACGAAACTGCACAGCGAATCGCGGCGCCTAAGACGACTGGGCCACCCGTGCCCCGAGAGCAATCTCATTAAAATCAGATCTTAGTTCTCTCTACCGCTCAACAAAGATCTGAGGACATCCTGTTACGGGTCACGTCAGAACGACCTTTCTCGAATTTTGACCGACCAATGAAATGACTGACAAGAAATCGACATTAGCCAATCAGAAGGCAGCTTTCTCGAGCTTTACGACACTAGTTTCAAACTGGCAACTACGCTTCGAAACATATTTTGACGTATTCTCGATTAAAAAAAATTAAAACTGATAAGAAGAACACTATGGAATGGCTTATAGATGGCCTAGATTGTATGGATATAATCATAAAACCCGTAACTGTTGTTCGGAATACCCCGTGTCAAATATTTCGTGGTTGCATGACTTGAAAACATGTTCCGACTGTCACTTTCATGATCTGGTAAGCAACGCTCTGATTGGTCGGATGAAAGGTCGTTCTGACGCGACCCCTAATGGGATGTCCTCAAATCTTTGTTTGGCGGTAGCGAGTACAAAGATTTGATTTTAATGAGATTGCCCCGAGGGACACCAGAAATGGGCTTCACGCATTGCACCCATATGGGGAATCGAACCCGGGCCTTCTGCGAATAAACACACAAGTGCCTCGCTGTATTCCAAACAATCTTTGGGGACAGTATTTGGTCTACTCCTGCTACAAATGTAGTTTCAAGTCAAGAAACGGAGACAGAATCCACTGGCGCTGTTGTCTGAGATCATGCCGTTCCAGAATGATAGCCGTAATTCTGAAAAAAGAAAACTGTCTTACAGCATCGTGCCAAAAGAGAGTAAAGTTGTTTGAATACCTATATATTTCAAGTAATTACATCTGCATTTGCTGAATTTTCCTGGTTCCGTTTTCCCAGACAAAAAAAAGTTACAAGCCGGTTAAAAGAGTTAATTTTGTGACTTTAAACAGTAAAACAAATGCACTCAAGACGAGAAATGTCAATATCGGGTGTTTTAGAAATAGGTAACTTGTTCTGATATCAATATTGTCAAGATTGGTTGTAAAACGTAATGAATTTAATGAATTGCAAATTACGTACGCATTACGCAAATGATTATACATCATGTCACTCATGGGCTTCCATACATTTTTTATTTATCAAGGAGGGTCCACTTTACGATATAATTTTTCACATAATTATGTTTCTAATAATTGTAACAATGTTGGATGAATTTATAAAAGACAGGAATATAGTTATCGGTCGTGTTTAACACACATGTTCTCTGCTGGTGCGGCCGTATAGTTACATAGCAGACGACGCTATATAATTTATGGTTGATGGGCATGCTAGAAGTATATATTGGAAGCCAACTGCTATAATTGTCATCATTATTAATTACATTTTTTAAATAAATGTGTATTTGTCAACGTACCATAAAATAATACGGCTCCGTTATCGTTGTTTTTCCCTGAATATTTTCCAAGGCACTTGCAGGATCACTACAAATTATCTCCCTTTGCGAGCTCTTCTTAATATACGGCGGTCCGTAGATGCCATATTCTCCTCGTTGGTTTTTATCTTTTTTGATGCGGGATTTAACCATTTTCCCGAAGGTTGATTTTGGTAGACTTTTTAATACATTCTCAAATACATTCAATTAAAAGAGACAGTCGTAAAATAATCTGTTGCAATTTTCTTGAGGTTAAATTACAGAATGACCAGACTACATGTGTGTTTGAAGACATGAAGTACATCACGTGTGCATGGAGACACGAGTGACAGTACGCATGTCAACATATACGAGTGTCAGCACCTCGGTATAAATGAACGAGTGACAACGTCATCACCCTATGGATAAACGTGTGTTTGTAGTCACGCGTGGCACCATGTTTGCATGGAGACACGAATGACAGTACGTAGGCAAATACCTAGATATCTACATCACGTTCATGTCTGTGCCTGTCGATTCACCTTTAGAATTCAGCTAACACCTTTAGAATTCCACACCATGATCGTGGCGCTAAGGTGATCGCCACTCACCGACTTTTAACTTAGACGAACGACTGCCATAGTGGGCTACAATACACGCTCGCCTTGTGGAACGAAACCTTACACCTCAAAGTTTACAATCACATCACCATACCCGATGACATGATTTGTGGAATGTTGTTGCAAGATCCTTCGCCGATATGACGTCAACCTAGCAACAAAGTGGCAGAGTCGTCGACTGTGTATGATAAGCTCGTCTCAGTGAGCTATCATCTCCACATGCCATCGCCACACACCAAAACAAAACAAAACAAAACAAAGAACCCGACTCCCTTCCCGCCTTCCTCCCTCCCTGAATCCCTCCTCCCCCTCCTCCTCCCTCCTCCATCCCTCCTTCTCCCTCCTCCTCCCTCCTCCTCCTCCTCCTCGCTCCCTTCACCACCACCGCCTTTTCTATTTTTAGAACAACCAAAGAACAACAACCATGTCGATCTTGTTCACCTTGTACGACCGCTTCTCTGGGTTTGTTCCCCTTCCCTCCTCCCCGGAAACGGATGCGACGCCCTCTTGGAGGTGCGCACGCCACCGGAAACGGATGCGACGCCATCTTGGAGGTGCGCGCGCCACCTGAAACGGATGCGCCGCCATCTTGGAGGCGCGCACGCCGCCGGAAACGGATGTGACGCCATCTTGGAGGCGCACGCCACCAGAAACGGATGGGCCGCCATCTTGGATGCGCACGCAGGACCCATCATGCACTGCGCAGGGGTCACGTGGCCGGAAGTGACGTCACAGAGGTCACGTGATCCTCTCGACCAATCAGAAGCCAGGAGCGGTACTGAAGCGCTGTCCTCAACTACTATCGTTGTATTATTGTTTGCATGTTTATTACCTTCAGTTGGCGTGTGCTTTTCCTTTACGATTTTTTTTCATATAGTTTGTTCTTTGCGGTTGCGGGCACGGGTGAATACAGTGCTCTAAGGTGTCGCAATTCCCTGTATTTGCGACCCTTTTCCGAATCAACTAATCACGGGTTCGAATCCCAGACTCGCCCCGACTACGATCCTTGCTTTGTCCTCACCTTACCTATGTCTATGGGTTTTACCAAAATCACACAACAAGCTGACATTCTCTGATATATCTTTTTTTTTTTACGTTCAAAGCGACGATAAACCTAATTTGATTTACTCAATCCCATATTGCAACTATTACAGAACCTTCAGTCAAACCTGAGAGCCAGGTTGCTTTTTGCAATACCAAGTTCACAACTTAGATCATGTCGATCTGACATGTTCAATGTCATCTAAATATAAACTGATAAACCGAGGCTGTCGTGTAGACGGGACACAATGAAAAGAACAACAACTATTTGTACCTATAATCTGAAACATTTTAATGCGACAAACGTGGTCTTGAAAATGTAACGAACTGCAATGGGCGTCTAAAGCGCTGAAGGTAAAGATTGTTTACATGAAAAACATTATCTTGTTGCATCGACGACACTAGATCAACTTGGTTCTATTTTGGTAAATGGTGGCGAGATGTAATTCAGTGTAATTCAGCATGGCAATGTCTTCGAGCCGGACTCACACCCCAGGAACGTGACCTGTCTCTTTCTCAGGGTTATCAGCAGCACCGCATTTGTACTGGCACATTTCTTCCGTCAAAAACATGTTGGCATTACCGCCACATCCTCCCCACGTGAATCGGCGGCACCCCGGCTGTGGTGCTGTTTTGTCGTAGTAGTATAGCTGTCTATTACTGGTACAAGGCCCTGATTCCGATGGCAAGTCACAGATGTTACATTTATTAGTGCACAGAGCACTCGTGTCAAACATGTTGGGCTGACTAGCACTGCAGCTCTTCTGGGATGTATAGCGACATGTGCGAGTGTGTTTGTTGTAGAAGTAGCCAGAACACTGACCATTTGGTACTACACAAGACGAGCACTGGCATGTCATACTGCAGTCGGATAAGGTCACAAACCGATTTCCGTTGCCTTGACATCCACCATACTGAAACTTCTCACACTGCCCGCTTGTGATGTTAAAAAAGTATCTTGTGAAATTCTTTGTACAGGAACCAGAGTCAGGATGGCGGTAACATCCTGTCAACAGAAATGGTGTTTGCATTTACCTTATATTTTATCAAACGTGTAACAGTACTGTTATAAATAATATAGATCTGTATATTGTATCATGGTATCATAAAATAAGCGAATGGATGTTGTGGTATGCCCATTAGCAATACACCAACTGTGTGAGGATGTTACCATACAAACATTCTGTGATTCCTATTTTGCACAGTAGCACGTTTGATCTCGTAATATCACTAGTAATAACACCTTTCTATTAAGTTCCGCATTGTTGCAATATTAGAAAGTTTTAATTTAATGCAAAACAGAAGCAGCCCACGTCATCTGCTTTCATTTCCAATTCCACAGTGCGTAGAAAAGAATATCTATCCAACTGTTGTTGGAACTCATCAAGTCAACCAACTTGATTAATTCCTAAAACGGATGTACTAACATTGTGACTAAGACGCAGTGAAGATATTTTGTTCAGGAATGCTAGTGTTTCTTTTTTCAATTAAAGCCCATCAAAACAAATCCTTAAATCTTGCTGTAAAATACTATGGAAAAGATGATATGGCGCACGGCTTCCTCCTTATGTTTCAGAATAATCATTTCAGTCAATTCTGAGAAATCTTAAGTTAAGGGTCAGTCTGACATGATGGGTTGGACGGATAGATGGCGTGCAACGTGACAATAAAATGATAAAGGACCAGGTGAACTAAAATATCTTCATATTTTTATGTTTCGTCCAACTCATGTGTCTTTTTTAAAACTTCGATGACTGCCAGACAGGAATAATCTTATTATCATACGAGGCCAGTCCTCTTGTGTTTGTAAAACTCTCAACCCTTCCTGATTTTCCAGTTAGTTCTTCCAATACTATGGCGCACATGAAAAACATAACTGCACAAATTTCTTCTCGCTACTAAACGGTTGGGTTTTCTTTTGAAATACATTAATGTGAAACGATGGGCAGGCATGCCTACAACTTGCTAATTTCAGTAGAAATGTGTTTTTGTAGCAAAACAAAATAAAGTTTGCTTTTGTTTGGAAATCAAATATACCATACCAAGTGTATGTGAACTGAAAGGCTGACAATGGGCGTATATGTGAAGAGAGTGACAGATGTGACTAACAATGGGTGTGTATGTGAAGTGATTGGCAGATGTGACTAACAATGGGCGTGTATGTGAAGAGAGTGACAGACATGACTAACAATGGGCGTGTATGTGAAGTGAGAGGCAGATGTGACTAACAATGGGCGTGTATGTGAAGAGAGTGACAGATGTGACTAACAATGGGTGTGTATGTGAAGTGATTGGCAGATGTGACTAACAATGGGTGTGTATGTGAAGTGATTGGCAGATGTGACTAACAATGGATGTGTATGTGAAGAGAGTGACAGACATGACTAACAATGGGCGTGTATGTGAAGTGAGAGGCAGATGTGACTAACAATGGGCGTGTATGTGAAGAGAGTGACAGATGTGACTAACAATGGGTGTGTATGTGAAGTGATTGGCAGATGTGACTAACAATGGGTGTGTATTTGAAGTGAGAGACGGATATGACTAACAATGGGTGTGTATGTGAAGTTAGAGACGGATATGACTAACAATGGGCGTGTATGTGAAGAGAGTGACAGATATGACTAACAATGGGCGTGTATGTGAAGTGATTGGCAGATGTGACTAACAATGGGCGTGTATGTGAAGTGAGAGACGGATATGACTAAAAATGGGTGTGTATGTGAAGTGAGTGGAAGATATGACTAACAATGGGTGTATATGTGAAGTGATTGACCGATATGGCTGTCAATGGGTGTGTATGTGAAGAGAGTGACATACATGACTAACAATGGGCGTGTATGTGAAGTGAGAGGCAGATATGACTAACAATGGATGTGTATGTGAAGTGATTGACAGATATGGCTGACAATGGGCGTGTATGTGAAGAGAGTGACAGACATGACTAACAAAGGGTGTGTATGTGAAGTGAGTGGCAGATATGACTAACAATTGGCGTGTATGTGAAGAGAGTGAGAGATATGACTAACAATGGGTGTGTATGTGAAGTGAGTGGCAGATGTGACCAACAATGGGCGTGCATGTGAAGTGAGAGACGGATATGACTAACAATGGGTGTGTATGTGAAGTGAGTGGAAGATATGACTAACAATGGGTGTATATGTGAAGTGATTGACAGATATGGCTGTCAATGGGTGTGTATGTGAAGAGAGTGACATACATGACTAACAATGGGCGTGTATGTGAAGTGAGAGGCAGATATGACTAACAATGGATGTGTATGTGAAGTGATTGACAGATATGGCTGACAATGGGCGTGTATGTGAAGAGAGTGACAGACATGACTAACAAAGGGTGTGTATGTGAAGTGAGTGGCAGATATGACTAACAATGGACGTGTATGTGAAGAGAGTGAGAGATATGACTAACAATGGGTGTGTATGTGAAGTGAGTGGCAGATATGACTAACAATGGGCGTTTATGCGAAGAGAATGACAGATATGACTAACAATGGGTGTATATGTGAAGTTATTGACAGATATGGCTGTCAATGGGCGTTTATGTGAAGTGAGTGGCAGATATGACTAACAATGAATGTGTATGTGAAGAGTGTGTCAGATATGACTAACAATGGGTGTATATGTGAAGAGAGTGACAGATATGACTAACAATGGGTGTGTATGTGAAGTGATTGACAGATATGGCTGACAATGGGTGTGTATGTGAAGAGAGTGACATACATGACTAACAATGGGCGTGTATGTGAAGAGAGTGAGAGATATGACTAACAATGGGTGTGTATGTGAAGTGAGTGGCAGATATGACTAACAATGGGTGTGTATGTGAAGAGAGTGACAGATATGACTAACAATGGGCGTGTATGTGAAGTGATTGGCAGATATGAGTGAGTGAGTGAGTGAGTGAGTATAGTTTTACGCCGCTTTTAGCAATATTCCAGCAATATCAAGGCGGGGGACACCAGAAATGGGCTTCTCACATTGTAACCATGTCGGGAATCGAGCCCGGGTCTCCGGCGTGACGAGCGAACGCTTTAACCACTAGGCTACCCGACCGCCCCTGAGTGGCAGATATGACTAACAATGGGTGTGTATGTGAAGAGAGTGACAGACATGACTAACAATAGGCGTTAATGTGAAGAGAGTGACAGACATGACTAGCAATGGGCGTGTATGTGAAGTGATTGACAGATATGGCTGACAATGGGCGTGTATGTGAAGAGAGTGGCACATATGACTAACAATGAATGTGTATGTGAAAAGAGTGACAGATATGACTAACAATGGGCGTATATGTGAAGTGATTGGCAGATATCACTAACAATGAATGTGTATGTGAAGTGAGTGACAGTCATGACTAACAATGGGCATGTATGTGAAGAGAGTGACATACATGACTAACAATGGGTGTGTATGTGAAGTGAGAGGGAGATATGACTAATAATGGATGTGTATGTGAAGTGAGTGGCAGATATGACTAACAATGGGCGTGTATGTGAAGTGAGTGGCAGATATGACTAACAATGGGTGTGTATGTGAAGAGAGTGACAGATATGACTAACAATGGGTGTATATCTGAAGTGATTGACAGATATGACTTGCAATGGGTGTATATGTGAAGATAGTGACGGATATGACTAACAATGGGTGCATATGTGAAGTGATTGACAGATATGGCTGACAATAGGCGTGTATGTGAAGTGAGAGGGAGATATGACTAACAATGGGCGTGTATGTGAAGTAAGTGGCAGATATGACTAACAATGGGTGTGTATGTGAAGAGAGTGACAGATATGACTAACAATGGGTGTATATGTGAAGAGAGTGACAGATATGACTAGCAATGGTTGTATATGTGAAGTGATTGACAGATATGACTAACAATGGGTGTGTATGTGAAGTGAGTGGCAGATATGACTAACAATGGGCGTTTATGCGAAGAGAATGACAGATATGACTAACAATGGGTGTATATGTGAAGTTATTGACAGATATGGCTGTCAATGGGCGTTTATGTGAAGTGAGTGGCAGATATGACTAACAATGAATGTGTATGTGAAGAGTGTGTCAGATATGACTAACAATGGGTGTATATGTGAAGAGAGTGACAGATATGACTAACAATGGGTGTTTATGTGAAGTGATTGACAGATATGGCTGACAATGGGTTTGTATGTGAAGAGAGTGACATACATGACTAACAATGGGCGTATATGTGAAGTGAGAGGCAGATATGACTAACAATGGGTGTGTATGTGAAGTGAGTGGCAGATATGACTAACAATGGGTGTGTATGTGAAGAGAGTGACAGATATGACTAACAATGGGCGTGTATGTGAAGTGATTGGCAGATATGAGTGAGTGAGTATAGTTTTACGCCGCTTTTAGCAATATTCCAGCAATATCAAGGCGGGTGACACCGGAAATGGGCTTCTCACATTGTACCCATGTCGGGAATCGAGACCGGGTCTTCGGCGTGACGAGCGAACGCTTTAACCACTAGGCTACCCGACCATCCCTGAGTGGCAGATATGACTAGCAATGGGCGTGTAAGTGAAGTGAGTAGCAGATATGACTAACAATGGGTGTGTATGTGAAGAGAGTGACAGACATGACTAACAATGGGCGTTAATGTGAAGAGAGTGACAGACATGACTAACAATGGGCGTGTATGTGAAGTGATTGACAGATATGGCTGACAATGGGCGTGTATGTGAAGAGAGTGGCACATATGACTAACAATGAATGTGTATGTGAAAAGAGTGACAGATATGACTAACAATGGGCGTATATGTGAAGTGATTGGCAGATATCACTAACAATGAGTGTGTATGTGAAGTGAGTGAGTGTCATGACTAACAATGGGCATGTATGTGAAGAGAGTGACATATATGACTAACAATGGGTGTGTATGTGAAGTGAGAGGGAGATATGACTAACAATGGATGTGTATGGGAAGTGAGTGGCAGATATGACTAACAATGGGCGT